ATGAAATTTAACTACTCATAATAATGGAAGAAAAATAGGAGATTGTCTTAGAATACATCACCAAGTTTGAAATAAAGATGTGGAAGAAAAAGTGGAATTCTTGCACCAAGATCTCATTCCTCTTCCAATGAGTGCTTCCAATCTTCAATTCTTAGTGTTAATCTTCTTAAATTTCTCCCTTCAATCTCCCTTCTTGTTGTTTTTCTCTCCAATATGTCCAGAACGCGTGGCTTGATCCCATAGATTTTTTTTGTGCGGCTCCCCCCCTCCTTTAGGTCTTCAATCTTGTGTTTATATTGTCTTGGAGTTTAGGGAAAGATTTGGAGATGAGTTGGGCCGAAAAAGAATGGTAAAAACCTAAAAAAATTACTCTCGCACGGCGGCGCCTAGGCGCTGACTTTCTGTCAAAATTTCAGCATCATGGCGCCTAGGCGCTGAGGGATAGCGCCTGGGCGCTGAGGGTTACTTCGGTTGCACTGGACAGCTTTCATTATTTTTATCATAACTTTTTCGTTCGATATCCGATTGAAGTGATTCAAGATGCGTTGGAAACCTAATTCAAAGGACTACAATTATGCTTCAGGAACAATTCTCCAATTCGATCGTTTTCTATGTAAAAAATGAGCCTAAATGTGAGACGAAAACTCTGGCGCAAAACTTTTTGGTTGGAAAATGATTTATGATCATATCTTGACTAAATTTGATCCCTTTGACACCTTCCTTTGTCCAATTGGCTTCTAGAACTCTCGGATCTTCATTTCAAGTTTCGACACGACTTTTGATTAATTGCATTTTAATCCTCGAACTTTGGATCTCTTACGTTTTGGTCATTTCATCCAATTTCGCTAGCTTCTGCTTATTTCCTTCATTTGACCTCTTTTAGCTCTAGTTTTCTCCATTTCCATCAATCTACAAAACAACACCAAAATCACTTGTTAGCACTTCTAAAATACTCTCCAAAATAACAAAATCATGAAATTAATGGCATAATATAATGAGTATAAATCACTCATCAAACACCCCCAAACTTAATCTTTTGCTTGTCCTCGAGCAAACACCGAAACCCATAAAAATAATTAATGGACACACAAGCACAACCAAGACAAACAAAATCACTTAAAATAAATTTCGCTAGATAGCTTGCCTTCATGCCTGAGAATTAAAAACATAACTTCGATTCCATGAACCACTTCAAAGCTATATTGCAAAAGTTAAATTCTCGCCTATTCAATGCACAACGGGTGTGTGTGTGTGTGGAGAGTCAAGTGCAACGTTGTACAATAATAAGTTGACCCAATTCCCGACCATAGAAGTCAAATTTTTCCTTACTTCGCTCGTGGGATTCACACACCCCAAACTTATTTTCTTTTCTCTTTCCAAGGGTGTAACCTCAGGTTAAATCTTCAATACTAATTTCTTACACCACTCAAGTTTGGTTAGATTTTACTGATTGTAGTTCCACATGTCAACAAATGAGGATTTTCCTTATTTTTGACTGCTTCAACCTCTAGAAATCAATCAAGTTACTTACCCCTTATCAAAGGTCTAATCCTCTAAAAAAAGTGCTCGGGGCTTAATCAAGGCATTTGATATCTTTTTTTTTTTCTCTGTTTTTCTTTTTTTTGATTAATTTTTTTCTTCACATATATCTTTATTCTTTAATCACCCTTTGTGCGGACGTCTCTCCCTTAAGCTATCTAAATGACCCCTGTAGCGAGTTTTAGGCCGGTGACTCCCAAATCAGATGACTTTAGGGCACCAGATTTTAAACCCTTACAGGCTTAATCACTCGAGTCATAAAGGCTATGAAGAGACGATTCACAATGAGATTATTAAAGTTGTCCTCATTGGGATCTTTTTTTTTTTTTTTTTTTATGCGGTGATTAGTGCAGTGCCCCTTATTAAACACCTATCCTCGAAAATCGACCTCTAACTTAAGGTTTTCACCCAATTTTCATCCTATTAGTCTCAGACAGTCCACACAAAAATTAACACACACAAAATCCACATTTATCTTCAAGTTTTCCTACAACAGTGCAATCATCCAAATATCTTAAATTTGGTTTAAGGGTATTATGATGTTTAATGGTTGTTTGGGTTTAGCATCTAAGTCCTCTATTTCAACCTATAAACGTAAATCAACATACTCATGCACAACGCTACAATCAACTCACGTGCAAAAAATAATTTTTGTTTCACATGAATAAGCAAAAATCTAACTCAAACACATAACTCGTCCACAATTAATAAATCAACGCATGTTTTCAATTACACATATCAGTACCGGCAAGGTTATCTAACACACACAAGCATGCAAAAACACGAAATGATTTTTTTTTATTTTTATTTTGAATAAAAACACAAACACATAAAACAAGCAAATCACACATAAGCATTCGAGAAACTCAACAATGTAAGCAAATGATGTCACTCCCTCAAACTTAACTGAAACATTGTCCTCAATGTGAAATTTAAAGGAAAAGGAGGAGGACTTCCCTGAAATGTCAGTATTGCCTATGATGTTGTGGTATCTTGGTGTTGCATTTGATTGACTCTTCTTCTACATTTTCCCCCAAACTTGAGATTTGTCCCATTTTCTCCATATCCATGTTGGTTTGAGTGTTCCGCGACGTCATGTTTCTGAAAAATTAAATTTGAAAAATTAAACTCATGGAACAAGGATTACTTAGCTCAAACATCTAATAACCAACTTAATTACTCCAAGACCTATGGGTAGAAGGTGTATGGGTGATGATTCCTAAATAAGCTATAAATTAAACTATCTTAGAACTTTGAAAACAAAATAAATAAAATAAAACAAAAGCTTGGGTTGCCTCCCAAGAAGCGCTTCTTTTAAGTCATTAGCTTGACTTGTGCCGCTGGTTTATCATGGTGGCTCAAACCAAGTTATTCCATCATTGGACTCCTTGCAATTTTCATTGATGCAATCCTTTTTTGCTATCCAAATTTTCATTTGTCCATTCTTGTCTCTACCAAGAAGTTCTCCAAAATTTGTTGTTTTATTCTGACAGCTTCGTTGATCAGGTGGCTCTTCTTCATCAATTCTATAGCAATTATTTTTATTGGGAGGTTTTTCATATTGGATGTAAATATTGAATATCTCCTGCTTGTCCTCTACCCTCAAGATTAGTTCTCCCTTCTCCATGTCAATAAGGGTTCGTCCCGTTGCTAAGAATGGTCGACCCAATATAATTGGAATGTCTCGATCTTCTGGTATGTCCAATACAATGAAATCCACAGGAAATATTCAATTTCCTACTTTGACGAGTACATCCTCAACTTTGCCACGTGGCCTTGTGATTGTTCTATCAGCGAGTTGTAGCGTTATTGATGTTGAGTTGACTTCACCTAGTCCCAATTTCCTGTAAGTAGAATACGACATTAGATTGATACTAGCACCAGTGTCACACAATGCATTAGTTGAATAGGAATTTCCAATTGAAACTGGTAAAGTAAAACTCCCTGGATCCTTCAATTTAGGAGGCAATTTTCTCTGGACTCTTGCACTACTTTCGTCAGTTAATGCCACAGTTTCAAACTTCGAAAGCTTTCTTTTCTTTGTCAACATCTCTCTCAAAAATTTCTTATAGCTTGAAATTTGTAGTATTGCATCTATGAATGGAACATTGATCTGGAGCTTCTTGAGAACATCGAGAAATTTTTCATAGTTTGTGTCTTGTTTGTTCTTCTTAAGCTTTTGAGGAAAGGGAATGGGAGGCATGTAAGCTTTGTCTAGACTTGGTGCTTTGGCAACTGATGTTTCTGTACCTTCTCTATTTTCAGTTGCATTTGTTGCAGATTTTTCTACCATTGTAGCTTCATCAATCACTTCTTGGTCATCTTTTCTTTCGGGTCTCTCTGTAGTGGTCTCTGGTGATTGTACCTCGCTCTTTGTATTTATGACATGAATATTTTGCCCCATCGACTTCTTTCGAAGTCTTTGGGAAAACGGAAGTGGAGGTACATATGCTTTAACTTTTACGGATGCCCTGGGTGGATCGTTCTCCACTATTTCAATTGCCATCAACTGTTCCTTAGGATTTATCATTGTATTGCTTGGCAATGTGCCTTGTGGACGTTCTGCAAGTTGTTGTGCTATCTAACCAATTTGTATCTCCAGTTTCTTGATGGATGCCTATTGATTTTGAAAGTTCGTGTCTATTTGTTGGAACACCTTGTCTGTCTTCTGCACATATTGTTGAAACATCTCCCCCAAACTTGGTCTTCTCTCTTGCTGGAAATTGTTACCATATGAGTTGAAATTACAGGAGCTATTTTGAATAAAGTTTACTTGTTCCTCTGAAGACGTGAGCATCATGCATCTCTCTGTAGGGTGACTTCTCCCACAATTCTCACATACTGAACTGGCCATCATTGCATTTGCTCCATGTGTTTGCAATTTTACAAGTAACTCTACCTGTTTTGTTAAAGCTGCTATCTGTGCATTGGTAGATGTTGTGCTGTCTAATTCATACATTCCTCCTGTCTTCGGTGGCGCCACTCTTTCCGACGAGAACATTGAATGTGTAGTGGCAATCAACTCAAACAATTCCATGGTTTGCTGCACAGATTTTCCTATAATTGATCCTCCAGCTGAGGCATCGACTTGGGATTTTGACAGTGGTGTGAGTCCAGTGTAGAAGTACTGCACTTGATTTCCTTGAGTGATTCCATGGTTTGGACATTTTCTCATCAGCTCATTAAATCTATTCCATGCCTCGTGATAGCTTTCTCCATCTTTCTGTTGAAAAGTTTGAATTTCCAATCTGATTTTAGCTACTCTGGCTGGTGGGAAGAATTTGTTGCAGAATTTCCTGATCAGTTCTTCCCAAGTAGTAATACTAGCATGAGGCTCCGCATCTAACCACTCCAATGCAGCATCTCTCAATGTAAATGGAAATAGTCGTAATTTAATTGCATCTTCATTGACCCCCGGAGCATGGAAGTCCTGACAATTTCTGAGAAATCTGGAGATATGCGTGTTTGGATTCTCTTGAGGTAGCCCGTAGAATTGCAGGGAGTTGTTCATCAAGTTAATCCAATCTGGCCTGATCTGAAAGTTATTCACCCCAAAATCTGGATACACAATACTGGAGCGCATGAGAGCTGCTATAGGTGTCAGGAACATTGATACTGGCAAATCCCCTTCATTTATTTCCCTATTAAGAATTGGGGTCCATCTTAATAAGGTCAACCTTTTTAAGAGGAGTGTCACAATCCTTTATATATTGGTCATTATTTCGGTATTTTAACGATGTGGGATTATATTCCCTTAACATGCCCCCGCAAGATGGTGGCTCGTTTGAGCATACCAATCTTGAAATTCGTGTGCTCATTTTTTGAGACTTAATCGGATTCAATTGCTCGTTGGAGCTTAATGGGTTCTGATACCATGTTAAGACTTGGGGTCCATCTTAATAAGGTCAACCTTATTTATTTCCTAAGATTACAAATTAATGCCACATTTAACACCCCCTCTTAATTTGTAATCTTGAGTTTTTCCTTGATCTTGTCGAACTTGTCAAATGTGACTGCCTTTGTTAAAATGTCTGCTGGCTGATCATTTGTGTTGATAAATTCCATGCAAATTTCTTCTCGACTTACCAAATCTCGAATGAAGTGATGACGTAATTCAATATGCTTCGATCTGGCATGAAAAACTGGATTTTTTATCATAGCAATTGCTGACATATTGTCGCAACGTAGTTCATGCTGTTGTTCCGGTGGTACCACAACTCTTACGGCCATTTGCCCAATCGGCTGAATAGGGATATGGATTTGTTGATTATCAGCCATTTGATGTTGCTGTTTTTGTTTGTGTTCCTTGCGTCTTCGTCTGAAGGTACGTTCTATCTCCGAATCAAATGGTTCAAGATCGTCGCCTTGGGCACGGAGCATACAACGAACACACTTTTCTGTAAATAAAAGAAAAATAAACTAATCAAATAATAGCCAAAATAAAAAAAAATAAATTAAGACTAAAAGAAATAGTCTCGGCAATGGCGCCAAAAACTTGTTGTAAAATTTTGTTTCGCAAGTGTACGATCCGTAACAAGTAATAGTGAACCTAAGAGTCCGGTTATCGATCCCACGAGGACTATTTTGTAGCACTTAATTTAATCTTTCTTTAACTACTATTTGACGAATGTAAATCAAAAA